AAAAAAAAAGTAATCTGTGCCTCTAAGAAAACTCATTTGATCCATCTAGTGAAGACACGTGAAATAGGTTTGCTAATAAAGACAATCAACATCCTTTTACTGTTATTTGCATTTATTTTATGTTGCATCTATTCCCGTGCCATAAGTTTTTGTTTCTTCAGTTTCTTCTGGGATATCTGGGGAAAAACAAAAATGAAAAGATTAACTGTCTTGGAAAAACCCACACATCTTGGAGACTTGAGTTTATCTGGAAGACTGGGCACAGGAAGCCCAGCTGTAAAGGACTAAGGGAGAATAAGGACAGAAAAATACTTAAATGATAAAAGCAGAAGCTAAACTCATTTGGTAAGAAGAGAAGAATATTAATCAGATCTAGGGGTGGGGGAAAAGGGCCCATTTTGGGACCTGCTTGAAAAGGCTATGTACATCTAGGTGGGGCCAGGTTGCTCAGAATAGTTTCCTTTCATGGTTATTCCAAAGGTGTCCTAAGATAGTCATCATAGCAACCACAAATCTTTCTAATACCACACACAAACAAAACCAAGCAACTACTAATTTACCTTTTTCTTCTGTGCAACCTCCTCTTCTGGTTTTGGAACAATTTGTTCCTTTTCAGTGAGGATCATCTCGATGTGGCAGGGGGAACTCATGTATGGATTAATCCGACCATGAGCTCTGTAAGTTCGGCGACGCATCTTGGGTGCTTTGTTCACCTGGATATGCTCGATGACCAGAGAATCTACATCCAAACCCTGGTAAGAGGGGAGGGAGAACAAACCAAGTAACACCTTGAATTATCTTAACACCACTAACTACCATTGGCAAATACTAATTCCTAACCTTGCCCTAATGCATCATTTTTGGAAGACAATCCTTTAAGACTTAGAATAGCTTATTTGTTCAAGCAGTTGTCTGCTTCCCCCTTTAAGTGTCTAAGTCACCTCCAAACTCAATGTGCTAAGTTGTTTATGAGTGGGCTTCCTGAAGGTCATTAAAGAGGAGTGAAGAACTGAGGAATAAGGTAGAGCCAAATTCCAAGCTCGAGCTTGGAATAAATTCTGATGATCAACAGATTATGGCGGCATGGCTTACAAGGCAGAGGTTTGGAGCCAGACAGACATAAACTAATTCCAGTTCTGACCCAGATCTTCAAATGCAAAATAAATGGCTAATACTCCAAATGGAGAACCACTTGTTTTGTCAGTTATATCACCGTTTTAACTTATATCGGAAACGTAACATCTCTCCACTGGGAATACACGTAACAAACCACATTAACCACTGCTAAAGCAATCATTTTCATAATTAACCATACAACCAAAAAGGTGCACAGTCCAAGAAAGGGTACAAAGCCCTGGGGTAAAAGGAGAAAAAAAATATTTTTTTTAAAGCTCTGGGGTAAGGGAAACACTAAGCCTTAGGGTTAAACAGACTATAAGACCATACTTCTGGCCAGGCGCGGTGGCTCATGCCTGTAATCCTAGCACTCTGGAAGGCCGAGGCGGGTGGATCGCTCAAGGTCAGGAGTTCGAGACCAACCTGAGCAAGAGTGAGACCCCGTCTCTACTAAAATAGAAAGAAATTATCTGGACAATTAAAAATATACATATAGAAAAATTAGCCGGGCATGGTGGCACATGCCTGTTGTCCCAGCTACTCGGGAGGCTGAGGCAGTAGGATCACTTGAGCCCAGGAGTTTGAGGTTGCTGTGAGCTAGGCTGAAGCCACGGCA